TCAATTTTCTCCGCTTTTCAGGTGACCATAAAATCCCAAGAAATCGACCAATTCCTCCAGGGGGATGCAAATACGAAAGAAAAAACTCCAAAAACCACCTACAAAGAAAACGAACCCGAAAACGATCTAAATTCCTCCCCGTTTAACAATCTAATCCTGTACAACGCCGAAGGAAAACCATACATTGATGTCAACCAGCTAGTTTACTCCCCTCGAAAAAAGTACGTATGAAAATAAATTCCAGCGTTTTGGGTGCAAGTAACCACTTGCAAGAAATAATGGGAAGAAAGTGGTTTCTTGCAGCTAAATATTTTGACCTGCAAGAAATGCACGGCACAAGAAACTACGCCCCGCTGTTGTACTTCATACGGCGCGTGGCTGGATTTGTCCCACTTTCTTGCAGTTTCTTGTACTTAGCATTTCTTGCACTTTGTTGCTTTGCAGAGCAAGAAATGTAGCAAATTTGACCTCGTTTTCCCGAGTTTTGATCATTATTACCAGTGTTTCAGATGCACGTACCCACTTGCAAGAAATGCCCACAAAAAAGTATTTTCGTGCGGGTATTTTGACCTGCTAGAAATGCACGGCGCAAGAAACTACTTCCCGTCGCAATACTTAACAAAGCGCGTGGCTAGACGGCGCTTATTTCTTGCACTTTCTTGCACCTCGCATTTTTTCCGTTTCTTGCCTCCCAGTCCACGAAATGTAGCAAATACATTAACAAAACACCGCTAAGTTCCCACATTTTTTTAAATTCCCACTTTTTGAAAATTCCAAATCTTTCTTCCCCTTTCCCAGGAAGGAGGCCACCCGGAAAGAAAAATGGTCCTGGTACTTTGCCGATTATTTATTCATCATCTCTAACTTGGTCAGTTTACTCGCCATCGCGCACTTCCTCGCGGTCGGGATTCAGTCCATGCTGTGGGACCAGAGCGTCGCCTCCGTCAGCCGGACCGACCCCGCCAACGGGAACAGGAACGGGACCATTCTCCGCTTTAAGACCACCTCAAATCACGAGAAGGAAATGATGCCGGAAGAAATCGGGACGACGTTGACGCTGTCCGCGATCTGTGGCTGTATCAATGTCACGCTCGGATTTTATGGGTGTCTTTCAGGGAGTAGAATTCTGCTCAAATTGGTGAGTGGAAAAAATACTTGGGGAAAATTTGTCGGATTTGAATCATACCTGTTCAAAAAAGCTGTTTTCATTCAAAGTTCAGTCATCCCGATTTCTGACGGAAGATTTTCATTCACTTTCATATGTCATTTTCGTTCAAATTCAATTCATTTCACTTCATCTAACTTCATTTCTTACTTCGTACCTTGTATTAAGCATAGGGTGAAAAATGAAATGAGTGAAAAATCGCTTCATTCACAGTCATTCATCCGAAATGATGGAATCCTTCAGTCATTTCATTTTCATTCAAATGACAGTAGTTTTATTTTCATTCACGATCATTCTCTATCATAATCAGTCAAATGAATGAAAGTGAACAGGTATGAACAGTCCACTGTAATACTGTATTTTTTGCCAAAGTATTTTTTTCCACCTGTGGTTATCCATTTTGATATTAATTAATTACATATTAATTAATTATCCTACTTACAGCACGCCTTTATCGACCTGTTAATGTTCCTGGTACAATTGGGCGTCTCGATAATCACGATTTGCACCGGGACGTGCGACCAGCTGGACATGTTCGGCTTTCAGGAAGGCTTCGAATTCATGGTGAGATCCTACGTCGAACCGAAGCGGACAGGATTGGAGGGTGACGAACAGTACTACGCGACCACGTTGCTCGACGAGGTCCAGATTTCGGTACGTACATAATTTGACTGAAAACCCACAAGTCTTTAACCCGTATTAAATAAAATCCACCCAAAAATTGGGATTATTTCAAAACTAAAAATGACTTCGTAGCTCTTCCAGTTCAAAAATGATGATAACACAATTAAGATTTGGATAAGTTAAGTATTAAAAACAATGCGTGTGTTTATCATGTGATGATATTGGGTGGGAGGCGATTGGCCTGGGAGGCCATTGGTAAGGGAGGCTAATTTCCTCAGGAGGCTATTGATCGGAGGCTATTGGTGGGAGGCCATCATCCGTAAGCCTTCAAAAATTATTGAATATCAAAATTTCTGAAATTCCGTTTTTTTACACTATCAAAAGCAAACTATGACTTGAATAGCTTTCGAACCGGCAGGGTTAATTTAATTTTTTGGAATAATAATCCTAAATTTTGACTGGTTTTTGTACACAAAAAATTTCGGGACATATTTTCGCAAAAACGCACGTTAAAAAGTTCGACAGATGCTTGTAAATAATAAAATAAATAATGATAATTTCCAATTTTGCATAATTCATAATTTTGCACATATCTAATACTGGTCATAATCTCGTATAAAATTAATTAATCAATTCCAATTTTATTAGAAATTTTTATTAGTTTAAATAACACAAATTTCGAATTTTGCAATTTTGACAAAATTTTGTAAGGTTTAACGCCGTTATAAATTTAATTGGGTGATGTTTTTACCTAACTAATTATTAGATTAGTTTTTCGAAGTTGGAAATCGATTACTGATCGTAATCAGTAAGCTCGTATAAAATCAATTAATCAATTCAAAAATGTCAATTTTCTATATAATTTTCAATCAGATTTTGACCATTGATAATTTTTGAACGGGTAGAACTACGGAGTCAATCTTATTTTTTGAAATTTTGAATTTCAAATTTTTTAATGGATGTTTTTGTTATTGTGGGTTTGCTACATTTCTTGCAGTGCGAAGAAAGCTGCGGAAAAAATGCGAGGTGCAAGAAACTGGGAGAAAGTGCACGAAATATGCGCCACCCGCCGTATGAAGGATAGCGGCGGGGCATAATTTCTTGCACCTTGTATTTCTTGCAGGTCAAAAATTGGTGGATTTGGCGTTTTTTTTTTGCGCAAGAAATTTCGAGGGACATACTTATTTTGCAAACCGATATTTAACACGTGTATTAAAGGCTTTGTCACCATACCTGTTCAAAACTTCAGTTTTCATTCAAAAGTCAGTCATCCCGATTGTTGACTGAAGATTTTCATTAACATTCAGTCATTTTCGTTCAAACTCATTCATTTCACTTCATCTGACTTCATTTCTTACTTCGCCCATGGATTAAACATAGGGTGAAAAATGAAATGAGTGAAAAATCCTTCATTCACAGTCATTCATCTGAAATGACTGAATCTTTCACTCATTTTCATTCAAATCACGGGAAATACATTTTCACTCCATCATAATCATCATAATCACTCAAATGAATGAAAGTGAACAGGTACATATGGTCACGTGGATTGCAAGCAACCGTTAAATTTAAACATGACCGTGTTTAGATGCAATGCTGTGGGGCGTCGAATTGGACGGACTACCTGAGTTCGAGAGTGACCCATTTGGAGCATGACTACCAAGCGGGACGGATTTTAGACCCCACCAAAGCCCAGAGACTGTTCCCCTTCTCCTGCTGCAAGGCCTGGTGGGTGAGAAACCTCTACTGCGCGGACAACGCCCACATCTGGACTTATCCCAGCACGAGTCGCTTGGAAGTCAAGAAATTTAGGGAACGGATTCATGAAGTGGTTCGTTTTTTGCGATATTTGGGCGATTAATTTTATGCAGATTGTGTCCGTTCATTTTACAATATGTGAATTTTGAAATACTCTAAAAACTTATACTAATTTTTAACCGAGTTGAAATATTTATGTTCCCGAAAAATATGTGTATGTGACCAAAGTCAGGCAAGGTCCAAGCCAAAAAATTATGTAAATCGGATGGAAAACTGGCGAAATTACGACATGGCGATTCATAGCGATGGGCGCCGTATTTCGACATGTCGACAACATCGAGGAAGACGTTCTAAATCGTCTAATACGTAGAACTTCGAGGTTCTGAAGAGGATCGTTCTCCATTTTTATTATCAGTGACCTCATTTGCATAAATAAATCTTACAGCGTCCCAGACGATACTGCATCAAATTAATCTCCCCCCCCCCAAAAATAATCCCCAACTTCAAAAACACTAAATTACAGAAGTTCGTTCCTAATATTTTGTTAGGGTTGCGCCCCCAAAGTGTGGCTTTCCTGTAAACGCCTCCTCTTCGACTTGGGTCAAGGCCTCTTCGTGTGGACGCTTTTCTCCGGAATTCTCCTCGTCCTTGAATCCTTCTCCATTCATTTGCAAATCCGCACGCTAAATACGGTACAAAATTTTTTGAAATCATGATTATTCAAATTTAGCTAAGCTTATGGCTAATCAGTTTTTTTAAAAGGCAATTCGATCCATCAAACAGCAAGAATTCGGCGTCAAACGGGCACGTGGCTTTACAAACGATGCACATTCCGATGATTTTGACGACGACGACGATGACGAGAAAAAATCAGCTCAGGCTTTCGACATGGAAGAATCCCCCTCAGAAATCGCTCCCCCCACGGAGGACGAAATCCAACACGTCAAAAGCAGAACGCCCTTCGCCCAGTTTCAACTCCGCATGCGACACACGGAACTCGGAAAGCTGTTGCAGGTTGGTTGGTTGTCAGTGGCCGCGGAAGGGTGGGGACAGAGGGATAATGTCCCCACTGTTGTTCGATGTCCGTATCAGCTGCCCATGTTATATATGTCCCCACCATACCTGTTCAAAAATTCAGTATTCATTCAAAAGTCAGTCATTCCGAATTCTGACTGAAGATTTCCATTCACATTCGGTCATTTTCTTTCAAATTCATTTCATTTAGCTTCACTTCATCTGACTTCATTTCTTCGCCCCAATGTTGTAAGCGTAGGGTGAAATTTGAAAGGAGTGCGAAATCCTTTCATTCACAGTCATTCATCGGTTATGACAGAATCTTTCACCCATTTTCATTCAAATAACAGGAGATTCATTTTCACTCACTATCATAATAAGTCAAATGAATGAAGCTGAACAGGTATGTGTATGTGTCTTGCAGACCGCGAGATCCGCCATGATTCCGGACGATGAATACGAGGACTCTTCGCATTTTCACCACGACAGCGACCATGACCACGAAGACGGCGAATTCGCCCTTAGTCATCACGGAGCGTCAAAATCTGGACATGTCTCAGTTTTGCGGAGGTCCCTAGTCTACTCCGAACTGGAGGAAGACATTCAGTCAGTTTTTTTAAATAGATACAAAATTGTCCAAAAAACTTCGAAATTTCGATTGAATTTTGACTTGAATCTTTTTCCCGAATTTCTTATAGGCGAGTGCGTCTCGAAGACCGGAAACGTGAGGAGGAAATGCAGTCAGTTATTTATTTTTTACTACAAAATTGTTCAAAAAACTTCAAAAATCTTTGTTTTGCTCAGAATTTGCAAGTGACCATTTGCAAAAAAAATATCTACAAAAAAGTGGTGTTTGCAGATATTTATTTTGACCTGCAAGAAATTTACTGCGCAAGAAACTACGTCCCGCCGCGCGTATTTAGTACAGCGCGTGGCTAGATGGCGCTTGTTTTTTGCACTTTCTTGCACCTCACTTTGCAGTGCAAAAATTGGCAAATCCGCAAGAAAATCTGTCACAAATTTCGAATTTCCACTAAATTTTGTCCCAATTTTCTTTTAGGAAAGCGCGTCGCCTTCAAGAACAGAAACGTCTCCTGGCTCAAAATTCCTTTTACTACGCGACCAAAAAGAAGCTGGAAAAGAGACGGGCCACCGCGACCAATCTTGATTTGTTGAGTTTCATCTCCATCCCACGCGCATCATACGCCGCCATCGAGCCCTTGGAGGAAGGCGAAGTTCCTTCCGTGCAAAGCATCGCGACGACGACGCGAGGTAGCAAAGCCAAGTCGACCACGTGGTTCCAGACGCCAGAGAAGAGAGTTTCGTTGGGAGAAGAAAGTTAGTTGGCCTCAGTTCTTTAAAAAAAATCACTGCAAAATATTGCATTAATGTATATGACTCATCCCAAAAGTGGTCAAAATCAGCACATTTTAAATTATTTCTCGCCTCTGGGAACTTATTTTAAAATTCTGGACACAAATTTGCCGTCAATGAGTTGATTGATGGAATGGCGTCGAGTTTTTTGAGCCAGTTTCGACGAGTTGCAATTTACTGAAGGTTTCTTAACCTTACTATACTTGACATGTATCTCTTCCTGTAAAAAGTGTCAAAATCTGCAGTGTACATTTTCAAAAAATTGACAATGGAAATTTTGACTTTCAATAACTTTTAACCCAGACTAGACTTTTATCTTCACAATCGGCAAAATCAACATATTTGTAATCCTTTATCATATCGGGAATGTATTTTAAAATTCTGGACGACAAATTTGTAAGCAAGCTATTGTCAATTTTTTACGAATACACACTCCAGATTTTGACCCTTTTTGAAGGAGGAGATCTCAAGTTTAAGAAGCCTTCAGAAAAATTGGACCTGGTTTCAAAAACTCAACGCCATTCCATCAATCAACTCACTGACTACAAATTTGTCATCCAGAATTTTACAATAAATTCCCAGAGGGGAGAAATCATTTAAAATACACTGATTTTGACCATTTAGGCAAAGAGTCCTTCGTCAAACTAAACGTAATAATTTGCAATTCTTTCACCCAGGAAAAAGGTTTTCTGCCCCCCAAACCCCCACCGACTACGAGAGCATGTCCCACGTTAATTTTCCCCTCCGAAGAAAATCCGATGATCAGCAACCCCCTCGAAGCTCCACGAATTCCTCCGCACTTCCCGTCCTGACGAAAAAGAAAAGGAAATCTCCCCACAAAAAGAGGCGAGGAACAAGCGTTGGATTGAAATTGTTTTCCAATCCGGAAGTCGGTATGCTAAATTTTGTTTGGCATCAGTGTTTCAGGTGCAAGAAACCACTTGCAAGAAATAATGGGTAGAAAGTGGTTTCTTGCAGCTGAATATTTTGACCTGCAAGATAATCAAGGCGCAAGACGCCCTTCCGCTATAATTACTTCATAAGTCGCGTGGGAAGATGGCGCTTATTTCTCGCACTTTCTCCCAGTTTCTTTCATATTCTTGCATTTTTCTGCACTTTCTTCTCTTCCAGTTCTTTCTTGCAGTTTCTTGCTTTGCAGTGTAAGAAATGTTGCAAAATCGCAAAAAAACAAACACTGCTTGTAAGAAAGTGGGTTTTTTGCAGCTATTTTCCCCCGCAAAAAAAATGCAAACTGCAAGCAACTCCTTCTTCCCGCTTTACTTGACACAGCGCCTGGCTAGATGGCGCATATTTCTCCCAGTTTCTTGCACCTCGCATTTCTTGCATTTCTTGCTTTGCAGTGCAAGAATTGTGACAAACCCACAAGATACATACGAAACACTACCTGGTTTAATTTTCTAGAAATTTGTATTAAACTTTTTTTTCAGAAAACCAACATCGCCGGGATGAAACAACCCTTGGAGGCGGAGGACACGGTCATCATCACCGAAGACCCAGCATAAATCCGTCCCATAGACGACGCCGGCGTTCCACTGGTCACCACCACCACCGGAAAGACTCCAAAGATAAGAGCGGCGCCATACTGCATGATAAGCCCTGGAACGAGTATTAATTCAAATACTCCCTCCACTTTTTTTGTTAACTTGCGCCATAGTTAAAATATTGGTGGCAAATTGTAAATGTATATAGATTTTTGTTTTAAATATTTTCCAAAATTTTATAACTAATTTCAACGATTGTTTTTTTACTCAAAGGAATGTAACCACAAAAAAATCCAATAGTACAAATTGTGTGAAAATAAAGGATTTTGGAAACTATATAGATAAATCTTAATCAAATGGAAATTCTGAAAAACCGAGGCCACCTTGAAAATGCAAAAAACAAACGGGTAAAAAAACAAGCTGAATGAAATTTTCCAAACACGTTTCCAAAAAATATAAATATATCAGCAACACCGATTTTCAAAATTATAAATATTACTAAAATACAATTTTTTTTAAAGCCGATGCCACCAGATCAATTAAACTGGTACGATCTGCATCCCTACGAAAAAAATCCAATTTAATATTAATTAAATTTGTGATCGATTGGCACTATAATGTGTTCAAAATCAGGGGATCCACTGTTCGTATTTTTGTAGATGATTTCATGTTGAAATTGTTCATGTTCGAACATTTATCAAAATTTTGATAAAATTTTGTAGCCTTCTCTGAAATCTGCTATCCTTCAAAGCAGTAAAATGTTTAGAAAATTTGGTAACCGACGCTCAAATTGTTATCATTTTATTTACAAATACTTTATTATTAATTACTTAATTCATTAATTCATTAATTAATTAAGATTGTGAATTTCTCTCCTCAGTAGACATCGTACCATTTACCGTTAACAAATTTCTGAAACTTTCTCCGACTAACGGAATCCGCGCAGGAATTTTCATCCCAGTTCATAATCCCGGTTACGACGTAGCCCCCACCGTCCGGAAATCCCGGCCCTGACCAGAAAAGCAATCTTTATTATCGCAAAATTCGCACTTCGTTGGACTCGATAACTCATTGCCAAAATCGTTAAAATCAACACATTTTAAATCATTTCTTGACTCTGGGAATTTATTTTAAAAATCTGAACAAATTTTTGGAGCAGCGAGTTCCCAATTTTTTAAAAATATACAATCCAGATTTTGTCCCTTTTTGAAGGAGGAGATCTCAAGTTTAAGAAATCTTCAGAAAAATAGAAACTCGCCGAAACTGGCTCAAAAAACTCAACGCCATTCCATTAATCAACTCACCGACTGGAAATTTGTCGTCCAGAATTATAAAATAAGTTCCCAGAGGAGAGAAATCATTAAAAATTTGACGATTTTAGCGATTGATCATCAACTCGTACGTTAATTAATATTAATTAATTAATTAATTAATTAATTATTAATATGTTGTCATCCAAACCCACCATGCCAAATGTCCGTCGTCTCTTTACTCCCAAGTCGCACATCGGTCACAACGTTGGCCGCAAGTTCGCCAACAAGTCGGCGCAAGTCGTCCAATTCCATGCGAAGTTTTGTAATTTCCTGAAAAAAAGTATAGAACATTTTCCACAAAACTTATTAAAATTTCCTCAAATTATCCCGATTTCCTTAAAATTTCATAAAATTGATTTAAAGTATTCGCAACTTCTCTTTCTTAAAATTGCATAACTTATACTATTCGTAATTTCTTAAAATTTATTTAAATCTTGCAAAATTACAATTCATTTCTTCAGATTATTCGCACTTTCTTTAAATGCATTTTGTCCCCTTAATTTTTTTTTAATTTCTTAAAATTTTTTTAGCTTATAAGTATCCATAATTTTTTTAATTCATTAAAATTTTTTCAAAAGTGCATTTTAAATCTTAAGATTTTTCGTAATTTCTCAAAATTTTGTTTTTCATTTCTTAAAATTGCATTCCTTAAAACAATCCTCAATCCATCGAGCCAATAATCCTTTACCTTTTTCGTCTTCACGACCTGCAATTGCACGACTTGTTCCGGTACGAGTTGCGAAATTTGGCACACGACCAAATTATGCTTCGTGCACGGAACGTTATACCAATTTCCTTGGTCTCGCGAAAAAAATGCGTTTGGATTCGGTCCAGGATCCGCACCGGGAGATGATGGAAATCCACCTCCACTCCCACCACCCGGCGCCGAGGGCGACGACCACCACGAACTCGGATTCGGCGGGGCCGGATCTCCCCCGCCCCCTGACGCCCCCGCCGACGCCGGCCTATTTCCGCCACTGGATCCCAGATTATAGTTAAAATTGTGATTATCTCGTGACCTCAGTTCGACACAATTCTTCATAAAATCTCCCGTCGGATTTCCATACGCCCATTTTTGATAAACCGAAAAATTGTTGAGGGATGTTCCTATTTTCAAAATATTTTTTTTTCTTTTATTACATTTCTGATATTAAGGTTTATGTATATGACTCGTCACCAAAAAAAAGTCAGAATCTCCACATTTTTAAGGATTTCTCGCCTCTGGGAATTTATTTTAAAATTCTTGACGACAAATTTGTAGAGCAACGAGTTCCCAATTTAGAAAAATATACACTCCAGATTTTGACACTTTTTGAAGGAGGAGATCTCAAGTTTAGGAAACCTTCAGGAAAATTTGGAACTCGTTGAAACCGGCTGAAAAACTTCAACGCCATTCCATCAATCATTTCACTGACTACAATTTGACCACAATTTTAAAATAGATCTCTCCAACGCAATGCAATGATTTTAAATTTACGCATCAACAATTCACCAAAATCGGGATAATCAGCACATTTTTAAATAAGTTCCCAGAGACAAGAAGTGACCTCTGGGAACTGATTTTAAAATTCTGAACGACAAATTTGTAGTCAATGAGCTGATTAATGGAATGGCGTCGAGTTTTTGAGCTAGTTTCGACGAGTTCCAATTTTTCTGAAGGTTTCTTAAACTTGAGATCTCCTTCTTTAAAAAGTGTCAAAATCTGGAGTGTATATTTCTTTAAAAAAATTGGGAACGACTCCCGCTCTACAAATTTGTCTTCCAGAATTTTAAAGTAAATTCCCAGAGGCGAGATATGATTAAAATGTGCTGATTTCTCCAATTTCGACCATGAATCATCAATTCCTACTAGTAGGTTAAAATTTTGCAAACAAAAATAAAGTAAATTTTGCAAACCGTCCAGCCAGCGAAACTGCGCACGTGGTCCGTCTCTCACAGCGCCGAGCCAAACATTATCCGCATATCGGGATATGTTAAAGAGCAATTTGTCCACGAATTCCTCCTCGTCTTTCGAACTTATCTGAAAACATTTTTGATCAAAATTTTGATTTTTTGTAAATAAAAAAACTTATCTGAAAAAATTGGAAATTTTTTTGACCAAAATTTTTTCGAAATTTCTCTCTAAAAAATAACCGCACCTGCAGCAGCGTTGCGTGCAAATTGACTTCGATCAAGTCGTCAAACAAGAGCTGCTTTTGACACGAGGAAATCGCAGCGGAATGCGTTTCATACAGGTTCAGAATTTTCAAACATTTCTAGTTTCGAAAATATTACACAATTTAAATTAATTTCTTAAAATTTAAAATTTCCTAAAATTTCTAAACCTCATTTTTGTACGGGATCCACCCAGAATGCAGACATTTGTGGTACGTCGTCCCCTGCCCGGAGACTAAACAAATTCATAAAATTAACAATTTAAACGTACAGAAAGGTACAAAATTTTATGAAAAATTTTATCAAATTTTTACCCAGCGTTGAGATCACAAAGGAACAAATAGTCAAAATTACGCAGAAAAAAGTCCACATTTTATTTATTTTCACTCGGTTTTTACCCAGTTCAAATTTTGATTTTGCACATGTTTGACTCCAAAAGTAAAAAAAAGTCGAAATAAATAATTCTAATGTGACATGAGATGTTTTCTGCTTTGACTGCATAGATTATTTTTCACAATAATTTCTTGATCAATTTGACTCCAAAATTTGCCAAATTTCGAAATGAAAATAATTGTAAAAAAAATCCTCCACCAATATATTTCCGTAAAACCAATAAAATAGTTTGTACAATCACAATAATTACTCTTGGCCCCAAAATTGGCAAAATTGCGACATACAAAAATCTATAAAAATTTACTACCAATATAAATATTTCCGCAAAATCAATAATATTTACTTGGCACGATCCCAATAATTACTTAATTATCTTATTTTACTCTTCCAAAATGGGCAAAATTTAGAATTAGAAATAATTCGAAAAACCTACTACTTCCAATTTTTCGTGAAATCGATAATTTACCCAAATCACAATTAATTGATTAATTAATTATACACGTTGCCCTCATTAAACGGCTGGGCACAGAAATTCTATTCCACGTCCCACAACGCCAACGTTTCTCCAGGAAATAAATGAATTCTGGATTTCCTACCTCGCCGCCTGCTTCCTTAACACATTAAAAACAGAATTGTGGTGCAAGAAAATGCCGTAAATTCCCATCCATTCAATTTTACATAAATCCATCCATCCGATCGTAACTCATGCTAAATATTTCTGCGATTGATGAGACTACCGCCTGACAGTGATTGCTTGTAGTACACGAGCTCAGAAAAAGATTAATTGTGACGACTTTATTCATCATCGCCCTGGGGAATTTATGGCTTCTCACAAAGAAACAAGCCTCTCTTCTGGCTGGAGATATGTACAGTCGGCTGGCTGGGTAATAATTTCCTATAATTGTTACATGCAAATTCAGTGGCCGCGGAAGCGTGGGTGAGGACAGAGGGACAATGTCCCAATGGTTATTCGATGTCCGCATCATATAAACCCTTCCCTCCCCTATCCTACAATGGTAATGTCCCCACGGCTTCCGCGGTCACTTAACGTAGGTATCACGTCTAAATAAAGTAGGCAGTGGCCGCGGAAGCGTGGGTGGGGACAGAGCGACAATGTCCCCAGAGTTAATCGATGTCCCCCTCATCTCCCCATCTTATACAAACCCGACCCTCCCCCTATCCTACAATGTTAATACCCCCAGATGTCTCCACAGCTTCCGCGGTCACTTAAAGTAGGTATCACGTCTAAATAAAGTAGGTAGTGGCCGCGGAAGCCTGGGCGTGGGCAGAGGGACAATGTCCCCACGGTTGTTCGATGTCCGCATCATTTCCCCATGTTGTACAAACCCCTCCCTCCCCTATCCTACAATGTTAAGGTCCCCACGGCTTCCGCAGCCACTGTGCATATATATTTCGTCCTGCAAAACCTTAACCTTGCCCTTTTCTCTACTAAAAAGTGAGAATTTAGGCTGCAGGCAGTATATGTACATAAATATGTACAAATACATACGTGGAGTGACTGGGTCACGTCCGGATTAGATTTCCCACGAGATTTTACAACTTATTAAATACCATTCACTTCTGCGTTAAGTTTGACTCGTTAGTGGTAACACCGACTTGAGTTAATTTAACCAACGCTGTGTGTGTACATGCATATTTATGTAGAGCACAATTAGTGCTTGAGCTTGAGGTGGACGACGGCGACGTTGGTGGTGGTCTGGTCTAGTTAAGAAGATGAATGAGTGATTGCTTTGTTTTATGGTCGCCGTAGTATTGTTCTTATCATTTGTCATATCGGTATCATTGTTTTCCCAATTTTTACCATTTTTTTCTACACTTATTTATTTATTTGCACATGTTTAACATTCCACTAACGAGGGTATTTCTTAAACATTACAATGAGCAGAATTTATTTATAATAAGTATTACGTTATGGCATGTAAAATGAGGAAATGAGGATAAATTTGGATGCAATTTTTGCTTAAAACATGATGATCACTGGATGAGATTCTCAAGTTGATCTTATAAGTAAATGAAAAACAAATTCCATCCCAATTTTAAAAAAAACATTCCAAACTCTAAAAATTTACGGAAAAACTTAAAAAAATATAGTTACTTAATTTTTATACACATTTCTTCGCAAAGCTTTGCCTCTAGAAGTATTAAGGTTGCAAGTTTATAACGTAATTAAGTGAGACAAGGTGTTGAATGAAGCCTATTCTGAACTTATAGTTTTTCGTAAATCAATAATTTAACAATGCAAATGATTAATTAATGGATTGTACATTTGTACATGATCAATTAACGGAATCAAAAACACGTTCTAACATTGGCAAATTTACTGCGCGTAGTTTTCCTCTTCAGATGCAAATATCTCTGCCAAACGTCTCCCAGCATATGCCCCCGGATTTTGAGTAAATTAGTGTCAATCAATGACGAATTTAATTAGGATGAAATTTGCGAAAGATACGATCTCCCAATGGGCACGTTTGGCAGAGATATTTGCATCCAAAGAGGAGAAAACGCCCTCTAAAGTTGACAAATTTTACATTTTCCAAATTTTTTATTGAGATGCTTCAACGTGTAAATAATTAGTTTCATGTTTCTTATTAAACTCCATTCATTCAAAATGCTTGGGACCGAAAGCGATCTGATGTTTAAATTTGGCAAGAAATACCAGTTAACATATTTGCATCCAAAGAGGAGAAAACATCCGCAGTAAATTTAGAAAGTGTAAAATTGGTAGCCTTTTAAGCGCGTTTCCTTCTCTTCGGATGCAAATATGTTAACTGATATTTCTTGCCAAATTAGAACATCTGCATGACTTGCGGTCTCAATCATCTTGAATGAGTTGAGTTTAATGAGAACCACAAAACTAATTATATAGACGCTCAAAATCGGAAAGCATACGTTAAGAGGCCTCCATTGCAAGAGATAGAAATTCAAACCTGTTCACTTTCATTCATGTGACTGATTGTGATAGAGAATGATGGTGAATGAAAATGAATTTGCTGCGATTTGAATGAAAATGACTGAAAGATTCCGTCATTTCAGATGAATGACTGTGAATGAAAGGATTTCTCACCTCTTTCATTTTTCACCCTATGCTTAATACATGGGGCGAATTAAGAACTCAAGTTCGATGAAGTGAAGTGAACTGAATTTGAAAGAAAATGAATGAGCGTGAATGAAAATCTTTAGTCAGGAATAGCGATGACGGAACTTTGAATGACAAAAAGCTTTTTTGAACAGGTATGTGGAAATTAAGGAAAGCAGAATGAAGCACAAAATGTTAGTTATGACAAAAAACGAGAAATTTTAACGCCGGATAACATGAATTTGCCAACGTTTACATAAGTAATCGGGGAATGGAGATGACTCCTTCTTTGTTTGGGACGGTTTTACTGAGAAACGGATAAATTTCCGCACATCTGGTTTGAGTTGTGGTCGGACTTCCACCATTATGTAACCGGGTTCCTGTTAAGTCAATTAGTATTATTTTTTAAAGTAATTGTAGATTTGAATAAAATTCTGAGTCATTAATTCTCTTTCTCGTCCGATTCATACCTGTTCAAAAATTCAGTTTTCATTCACAAGTCAGTCATCCCGATTTCTGACTGAAGATTTTCATTCATATTCAGGCATTTTTTTTTAAATTCATTTTATTTCATTTAACTTCATCTGACTTCATTTATTACTTCGCCCCATGTATTAAGCATAGGGTGAAAAATCCTTTCATTCACAGTCATTCTTCTCGAAATGACAGGAAATTCATTTTCACTCACTCACTATCATTCACCATCATAATCCCTCAAATGAATGAAGGTGAACAGGTATGGTCCGATTTATATTTGTCCGCCACTGCTTCTCCTGCCAAATGAATATGGATCAACTGACCTCCCAGGTCTCATCTCACAAGTGAAATTAAATTATGGACTGATTTATAAATTAATTTCAATTAATTTTATCAACATATTTTTATTTATTTTTTATTTATGAACAAATTTTTTTTAATGTTAAAGTTTGGCGTCGTATGAAAATAAAGTTGGTGCGTTAATACGAAAAACTATACTTTAGATAAAGGATCTAATTTGATTTATGGATTGATTTGTTATTTCATTTGAACTAATTACCGAAAAATATCTTAGAAATATATTTTTCCAAAGTTTCCTAAAAAGCATATTTCATTAAAATGCATGTCCTAAATAAATCCTAAACTTTAGCGTCGTATGGAAATAAATTGGGTGTTAATTAGAGAAAACAATAGTCCAGATGAAACGTTGCGAAGAAAGAAAAATTCTAGTTATGAACCCATTTTTATTTTCCTTTTAATTAATTACCTAAAAATTTCTTAAAAATACATATTCCAAAGACTTCTTCAAAATGGCATGAAAAATAATACCCAATTTAATACAGATAAATATTAATTATATTTTTTTACACACACATATACACACTAATTACACACTAATTTTCCCGGATTAATCAACTTTATTCGACTGAATTCTTTCCCAGTATTCCTGTTCACTTTCATTCATGTGACTGAGTATGATAGAGAATGATAGTGAATGAAAGTGAATTTCCTGTGATTTGAATCAAAATGTGTGAAAGATTCGTCATTTCAGATTAATTCAGATGAATGACTGTGAATGAAAAAATTTTCACTCATTTCATTTTTCACCCTATGCTTAATACATGGTACGAAGTAGGAAATGAAGTCAGATGAAGTGAAGTGAAGTGAAGTGAAGTGAAATGAACTTGAAAGAAAATGACTGAATGTGAATGAATATCTTCAGTCAGAAATCGGGATGATTGACATTTGAATGAAAACTAAATTTTTGAACAGATATGGTTGAAAATTGTTACTCAAGTTTGTTTTCAAAATGTACAAATTCCAGAGGTATGGAAATTTCCATTTTTGCTATTCCATGCTTATCAAGATGTGGATTAGATTAGGGGGAGAAAATAGAAAATTTTAATTCAGTATTTAGGAGGAGTACGTACGACCTTTTCAATGCCAGATCTTGATGCCCTTTGTATATGTCATAGGTCTATACGAGTGTAGAAAAAGTGAAGCCGGGTTAAGGTCCATGGGCCCTAGTTCGCCAGCCACACCCCTTTGAAGGGGCGCCCAATGCCAAACTAGCCGTACTAAAAAATTCGCCAAAAATTCAATTTTGCTCGGAGTTTCAAAATATTTACATATTCTTGATCCCAGATAGTTGCTTTATCATATCCAACATCAAACCCAACTTTTTTGAAATTTCACACTTTTTCGATACATACCCCTAATCAGAAGATTTTCAAAAATTTTGAAAATTTGAAAAGGGTCGAATTTGATGTTGGATATGATAAAGCAACTATCTAAGATCAAGAATATGGAAATATTATGGAAATCAGAGCAAAATTGGATTTTTGGCGAATATTTTATTGCGGCTAGTTTGGCATTGGGCGCCCCTTCAAAGGGGTGTGGCTGGCGAACTAGGGCCCATGGACCTTAACCCTCCTTCACTTTTTCTACACTCGTATAGACCTATGACATATACAAAGGGCATCAAGATCTGGCATTGAAAA